ACCGAACCGAAAACCTGAACGGACCGGCCAATCTCGCGCCTGTCAATCAACCAAACCGAACACTGAACCGGCATCTCGCGCCTGTCAATCAACCAGAACCGGAAATCCTCGCGCTGTCAATCAACCAGAACCGAAAACCTGAACCGGCATCTCGCGCCTGTCAATCAACCAGAACCGGCAATCTCTGTCAATCAACCAGAACCGAAAACCTGAACCGGCAATCTCGCGCCTGTCAATCAACCAGAACCGAAACCTGAACCGGCATCTCGCGCCTGTCACATCAACCAGAACCGGAAACCTGAACCGGCATCTCGCGCCTGTCCAATCACCAGAACCGGAAATGAACCGGCATCTCGCGCCTGTCAATCAACCAGAACCGAAACCTGAACCGGCATTCTCGCGCACACCTCAACAGAACCGAGAAACCGAAATCTCGGCGCCTGTCAATCAACCAGAACCGGAAAACCTGAACCGGCATCGCGCCTGTCAATCAAGAACCGGACACCTGAACCGGCATCGCGCCTGTCAACAACCGAACCGGAAACCTGAACCGGCATCTCGCGCCTGTCAATCAACCAGAACCGAAAACCTGAACCGGCATCTCGCGCCTGTCAATCAACCAGAACCGAAACCTGAACCGGCATCTCGCGCCCTGTCAATCAACCAGAACCGAAAACCTGAACCGGCATCTCGCGCCTGTCAATCAACCAGAACCGGACACCTGAACCGGCATCTCGCGCCTGTCAATCAACCAGAACCGAAAACCTGAACCGGCATCTCGCGCCTGTCAATCAACCAGAACCGGAAACCTGACCGGCATCTCGCGCCTGTCAATCAACCAGAACCGAAACCTGAACCGGCATCTCGCGCCTGTCAATCAACCAGAACCGGAAACCTGAACCGGCATCTCGCGCCTGTCAATCAACCAGAACCGGAAACCTGAACCGGCATCTCGCGCCTGTCAATCAACCAGAACGGGAAACCTGAACCGGCATCTCGCGCCTGTCAATCAACCAGAACCGAAACCTGAACCGGCATCTCGCGCCTGTCAATCAACCAGACCGGAACCTGAACCGGCATCTCGCCTGTCAATCAACCAGAACCGGAAACCTGAACCTGAACCGGCATCTCGCGCCTGTCAATCAACAGAACCGGAAACCTGAACCGGCATCTCGCGCCTGTCAATCAACCAGAACCGGAAACCTGAACCGGCATCTCGCGCTGTCAATCAACCAGAACCGGAAACCTGAACCGGCATCTCGCGCCTGTCAATCAACCAGAACCGGAAACCTGAACCGGCATCTCGCGCCTGTCAATCAACCAGAACCGGAAACCTGAACCGGCATCTCGCGCCTGTCAATCAACCAGAACCGGAAACTGAACCGGCATCTCGCGCCTGTCAATCACCAGAACCCGGAAACCTGAACCGGCATCTTCGCGCCTGTCAATCAACCAGAACCGGAAACCTGAACGGCATCTCGCGCTGTCAATGACCGGAAACGAACCGCATCTCGCGCCTGTCAATCACCAGAACCGAAACCTGAACCGGCATCTCGCGCCTCTGTCAATCAACCAGAACCGGAAACCTGAACCGGCATCTCGCGCCTGTCAATCAACAGAACCGGAAACCTGAACCGGCATCTCGCGCCTGTAATCAATCAAACCTGAACGGGCATCTCGCGCCTGTCAACCAGAACGGAAACCTGAACCGGCATCTCGCGCCTGTCATCAACCAGAACCGGAAACCTGAACCGGCATCTCGCGCCTGTCAATCAACCAGAACCGGAAACCTGAACCGGCATCTCGCGCCTGTCAATCAACCAGAACCGGAAACCTGAACCGATCTCGCGCCTGTCAATCAACCAGAACGGAAACCTGAACCGGCATCTCGCGCCTGTCAATCAACCAGAACCGGAACCTGAACCGGCATCTCGCGCCTGTCAATCAACCAGAAACCGGAAACCTGAACCGGCATCTCGCGCCTGTCAATCACCAGAACCGGACCCTGAACCGGCATCTCTCGCGCCTGTCAATCAACCAGAACCGGAACCTGAACCGGCATCTCGCGCCTGTCAATCAACCAGAACCCCTGAACCGGAAACCTGAACCGGCATCTCGCGCCAGTCAATCAACCAGAACCGGAAACCTGAACCGGCATCTCGCGCCTGTCAATCAACCAGAACCGGAAACCTGAACCGGCACCTCGCGCCTGTCAATCAACCAGAACCGGAAACCTGAACCGGCATCTCGCGCCTGTCAATCAACCAGAACCGGAAACCTGAACCGGCATCTCGCGCCTGTCAATCAACCAGAACCGGAAACCTGAACCGGAAACCTGAACCGGCATCTCGCGCCAGTCAATCAACCAGTGAACCAATCTGTCAATCAACCAGAACCGGAAACCTGAACCGGCACTCGCGCCTGTCAATCAACCAGAACCGGAACCTGAACCGAGAACCGCATCTCGCAATCTCACCGTCCAGACAAGCGGCGGTGACTGTTGACGGGCGTGAGGTTCTCTCCATCGAGGGCGCCCGAAACGTCGCTCATGTTCAGTCATTTCTTTGCCACTGATCCAGTTAATGAACGTCATTATCATTAACATTTATCTTTATTGCTTGTTGTTGATGTTGTTGTTTAGCCATTGTCACTAGCCATTTTTTTGCCACTGATCCAGTTAATGATAAATGTTAATGATAATGAATATCATTAACATTTATCATTATTGTTTGTTGTTGATGTTATTGCTTTGATATTTCCACTGGTAATGTCATTGTTGTTGATGTTATTCATATAATTATGATTATTACTATTATCATCAATATTCTCATTGTTATTCTTATTACATCATTATTGTTTGTTGTTGATGTTGTTGTTTAGTTATTGTCACTGGCAATGTCATTATTATTGATGTTATTCATATAATTATGATTAATACTATTATCATCAATATTCTCGTTGTTATCCTTATTATACCTATTATTGTTTTCATCACCATTACTCTTATCATCATTATCATTGCCTAAGCCTGTCTGCATGTATCCAAAGTAATGGGCATTTTTTTCAAGTTTCAGTTTGCAATATCCTGGTTTGTCATGTCATATTACAATTTTTTTTCCCCGTGACAATCTGGATTAAAAATTCCTGTCATTTTCAGTTTTGCAGAATGTGCGTGGCGAAAGGAGAAATATTTTGCCGGATGATGAATATGGGGAAGAGAGAGAGGAAGGAAGAAGAGAGGGGGAGGGAAGGAATGAGGGATATGGAGGGAGGGAAGGAGAGAAAGAGAAAGGGAGAGAAGGAAGGAGGGCGGGAAAAAGATAGGTGCATAGATAAATAGATAGATAGCGAGAGAGAGAGAGTGAGTGAGTGAGTGAGAGTATGAGAGAGAGAGAGAGAGAGAGAGAGAGAGAGAGAGAGAGAGAGAGAGAGAGAGAGAGAGAGAGAGAGAGTGCGAGAGAAAGAGAGAGAGAGAGGGGGAGAATGAGAGTACAAGAGTACGAGAGAGAGAGAGAGAGTGAGAGTACGAAAGAGAGAGAGAGAATGAGAGTACGAGAGAGAGAGATAGAAAGAGAGAGAGAGAAGGGGGATGGATGGATGTTACCTCAGCTGGATCTCTCAGCTTCGCTTTTAGCTGAAAGATAAATCCGTCTGTCATTTTTTATTTATCTTTTTTCCCCCAACCATTCTCCTTGGCTACATTTGCTTCCTCAAAAGTAAAGACGCAAATATGATGAACATGTGTGTGTGAATGTGCGGTGTTTGTGTGTGTGCGTGTGTGTGTCTGTGTGTGTGTGCAGTGTGTGTGTGTGGGGGGGGGGAGTGTGCGGTGTGTGTATATATATATATATATATATATATAATATATATATATATATATATATATATATATATATATATATGAAACGTATCCATGTTGACAAATGTAGAAAAGGTATGAATGAGACTGGATATCTTCACAGTACAAGAGAGATGTATTTTGACCGGTTTCGATTACGTCTTCATCAGAAATACATATATACATATATATATATATATATATATTTTATATATATATATATATATATATATATATATATATATATATATATATATATATCATCATGTATGTTGTATGCACACACACACACGCATATATATATATATATATATATATATATATATATATATATATATATATATATATATATATATAATATATATATAATATACATAGTATCTAATCAAAGAGCTTCTGATATTATTCCCGGACACGTTTCTTTATGAAGTTAATTCCAGAGATTTTTTTTTTTTTTTCGAGAAAGTCTTACTTCCAGAAGACTGCCAGATTGGAAATTCAATATTTCATCCTGACTTATAAGCTGAAGCGTTGAAACTGGAAAATCATAAATGAAAAAAATACAAAAGGGATATCAAAGGAATGTCTTTTAGTGTCAATAAATGAAAGAAAAAAAGAAATTGAACGGCCTGTAATCCTGAAATCTCCCCAGCTAGTTCTGCCCCGATTTTTTTTTTTTTTTTTTTTTTTTTTTTTTTTTTTTTTTTTTTTTTGAGAAGAGAAAGTAACACAAGAAGAAATATTTTCATCACAGATTTTTCTGATGGGCGAAATTTAGTATGATTCCTCTTGTCAGGAAGTCACTTAAAAAAAAACAGAAATGAAAAGACTGACAGAATGTCCTTCCTAGATAAAAGTTTTGATTGTTGAAACTGACACCCCCTCCCCCTAAAAAAAAAAAAAAAAAAAAAAAAAAAAAAAACTCGTCACTTATATTTTATTTTAATTCTGATCTTGAAGATTAGAAAAATAAGAAATATAGTATATGAATAAGTTTAAACTCAGGCAAAACAGATGTAATTTCCAATGACCAATAGACAAAAATTGCACAATCTGCCTTTTCTTAAATAGAATCAAACTCTTTTTATACACTACATCTTTCCTTCTATTTGCTCCCGAATCTTAATTATCATTGTTGATTTATTATCATTTTAATCATTGTTAGACATTTCTATATCAGGAGGATATCCGGGCCTTTGACAGATAGATGAAAAAAAATGGATAGCTGGACATAGAGAAAACAAATAGATAGATAGACAGGATATATAAGGAAATAAATAGATGGGTGAAAAAAGGAAAAAAATAGATAAATAAATGATAATGGAAATACGATATTGAGTATTCATCGATTCAGTTTAATTTATTATAATTTGTTTATCATATTTGCGTCTTTACTTTTGAGGAAGCAAATGTAGCCAAGGAGAATGGTTAGGGGAAAAAAATCAATAAAAAATGACGGAAGGATTTATCTTTCAGCTAAAAGCGAAGCTGAGAGATTCAGCTGAGGTAACATCCATCCATCCCTTCTCTCTCTCTCTCTCTCTTTCTATCTCTCTCTCTCTTCTTTCTCTCTCTCTTCTCGTACTCTCATTCTCTCTCTCTCTCTCCCTCTCTCTCTCTCTCTCTCTCTATCTTCTCTCTCTCTCTCTCTCTCTCTCTCTCTCTCTCTCTCCTCTCTCTCTCTCACTCTCTTCTCTCTCTCTCTCTCTCTCTCTCTCTCTCTCTCATCTCTCTTCTCTCTCTCTCTCTCTTCTCTCTCTCTCTCTCTCTCCTCTCTCTCTCTCTCTCTCTCTCCTCGTACTCTCTCTCTCATTCTCTCTCTCTCTATCTCTCTCTCTCGCACTCCTCATTCTCTATCTTTCTCCCTCTCTCTCTCTCTCTCCTCTCTCTCTCTCTCTCTCTCTCTCTCTCTCTCTCTCTCTCTCTTCTCT